ATTAAGTAAAATAATAATTAATCAATGTGATAAAAATGAATGCTTTAAACGTTATTATAATAGTGTATTTATTACGCTATTGATATTGAGCTTTAAATGAATTTCAATCGACATAATCTTACCTTTCAAAGTTGATTAGTCTATCCGCTTCGCGGAAACCAGTTTCCACGGCGCCGTGCACAGTGGAATAATGATGATCGTGCGTAGCTTCTCCAGCGAAAAGAATTATCTAATCATGATGAATTTCGTCAATGTCAATAGTCTTTCTTTTACAATACGATTCAACTTATATAAGGTAAAACTACATGACAGGCTAAGGCTAAAAATAGAACATATCTTGAGTTGTTGACAAAATAAAGAATCAACATAAAACGATGAGGAGACTAACTATAATGTGTCAAATAATGAAAAATATTGTTATTTTTATTTTGGGATACATACAGGTTTATTTCCACTCATAATTGGTTCGGCCAGATCTCTAAGTTTTTCATTCATTTGTTCGAAAACCATGCTATGGAATGTATACGAGCCTCGAAAATGTTCATCAGTATACCATTTAGATCTAAAAGTTTTAAAAAACACGGCAATATAGTAAGGCCATAAATTAAAGCGGATATAATTATTTTCCTTTCAATCAGTTCCAATGAAAAATTAACAATAACCTTAACATTCTTGTTGGTTTTACAACATTGTAATGTTCTCCAAATGATTTATTTAACAATAAATACAATCCGTCGTATACGTCAACATCCGATAAAGTTTCTATGTGTCTCGCGTTTTTTCCAGTTATCCAAGCACATAAAAGATTCGGCTGATAAGACACAGTGTAAAACGTGAACACGTCACAGAGCCACTCGCTACTCTAAAACAAATATTTGACGAGATTAGTAAAAGGATAGGGAAAAAATCGTCGAAATTGACTTTCAAACAAATTATTCGTTATAATCTGCAAGCTTAGAAAGGCATTCGGAGACATTCTTAGATTAGACACTCGAATATTTGCTTACTTGACCAAAGGTTTGCAAGAATTCCTCTTTAACTTTTTCTGGCCAGATAAAATTAAAGCTGGCTTTATCCTCCGGCCACCATCTATGCGGAAATTCAAGGTAAACCTTGTTTGTTGTTCCAATATTTAATCCCTATACGATATAATGTTGTTAATTAACATCAACATATACATAACGTGCCATTTTATTTTACAGTACTGTATTGTTAATAATACAGTAATAAAACCTCTATCGTCCGTTGTTTCTTCTGCGATAAGGGTGGCACGAACATTGTAGAATGTTTCTCCTTCAGAACACCTAGAGACCCAGTGAATATTACATGCCGCGTGAAATAATCGCATCTATCTCTGGTAGTCACCGTCACGTTCTCGCCTGAGCTATAA